TTTAAGCAGGATGAGAATGAAAGCCATGAGGTTTCCCTTCTACAGCTTTGCTCCTCTGTGTTCTGAGTTCTGCAGAGCTCAGTATAATATATGAGAAAACGAGAGAATAAATCTATCATTTCTTCTTTAAAAAATTTTTTTCTTTATTGATTTTAGGGAGAGAGGAAGGGGGAAGGAGAGAGAGACAGAAGCATCGATGAGAGAGAACATTGATTGGCTGCCTCCTGCATCCCCCCCAACTGGGGATCAGGCCCCCCGCCTGGGCATGTGCCCTGACTGGGAATCGAACTGGTGACCTCTTGGTTCATGGGTCGATGCTCATCCACTGAGCCACAGCATTGGGGCTCTTTTTAAAATTTATTTATTTATTTTTGAGAGAGAGAGAGAGAGTGAGTGAGAGAAGAGAGAGAGAGAGAGTGTGTGAGAGAGAAACACTGATTTGTTTTTCCACTTATTTATGCACTCATTCGTTACTTCTTGTATGTGCCCTGACCAGAGATCCAACCTGCAACCTTGGCGTATCGGGAGAAGACTCTAACCAACTGAATTACCTGGCCAGCGCCTTGAACCTATAATTTCTGAAAGCTGATTGCAGGGCATGAGAAGTGCAGAATTTTGTTAAAGCTGTTCTGGTCAGTCTGGGGATGGTGTCAGGGGCTCACCAACCTCACACGTCAGGGCACTGGTCTCCCCAGCCGTGCCTCCCTGTCACGGCGGCGTGGACGTCACACGAGGGCAGGCTGCTGAAGAATTTCTATCTTACCAGGTATGTTTCACTTTAATGCATATTGTGTTTTATAAACTAATACTTCAAAGCTGTTATTTTACATACATCACGTCTAAAGATAAAGATAGGTTTAAAAAGTGAGTTTGGAGCTGGTTTAATTAGAAATATTAAATAAGTAGTCATACAGGTAGTACTTGGAAATGGTAAAAATCATGAAGGAGGTATATTGAGAGCTGAAATAAAAAAAACCACGTAGAAGATAATTTTCTTCTTTTCCCATTGTTTTGACAGCTTCTTTGCTGAGATTTTTGCTATTTGTCTCCATTTACAAAATACCCGTAGAGTTACGGCAGAAAGTTTGGAAACACAGAAAAGCACAAATAAAAACAATAAGAATCAACCATAATACCCCCCCCCCCCCTAAAAATAAACACAGTAAAGATTTTGTTTTCCATCCATCTAGTTCTTTTTCCATAAAAGTAAAATGATGCCTTCACACTCTGTTTTATAGCCTGGATTTCCACTTAACCAGACAGTGAACGCTTCCCATGTGCCAAGCTTTCTTCTCCAGCAACTGCTTTATTGGCTGAAGGATATTCGCTTATGTGTTTCTATCAAAGTCAAATTAACCTCCTACTGTTGGGAGTGAAAGTTGCTTCCACTTCTTACTGCCATGTAAAACACTGCAGTGACATCTTTCGACTTGGCACCATCCTATCCACATCTCTGAGCTGTCACTTATCACAAACTCCAAGTCACTTGGAATAATTTATTAATTATTCTATAACATTTGCAATGTATTGCCTTAACACTGTTATCTTTCTTTTAAAATACTTTTATTATTTGCCAATATACTTATATAACTCTGATTATTAAAGATGTGGAACATAAAATTGATCATATGGAACATAACATTGATCATATATTTAGAATTCATTTGTGTTTTTTCTTTTGTGAATTTCCTGTATATGCTCTTTGTCCTAATTTCTATGGATGTGAAGCCCTGAAGTAATAATCAGACTTAGGTGTGAGAATAGAATAGAATACTAAATGCCTTAGGTATTCCTGTCCCAAGAAACACTTTATATTTCTTAGAATTCTCTTTTAGCTAAGGGACAATTATTATTTTTGGAAGAGAGACCATTATTAATTTTTTTTTATTATTGTATTTTTTCAAACTCATGAAAAAGATTTTGAAAATATGAGTCAAATTAATTCATTATTTTAGGGGAAAACAACAAACTATGGTCTGGCCACGAAGCCTTAGTCAGCAAGTTCAAAAATATTCAGATAAGAAATGTATTCATTCCAATGATGCTAATGTTTGAGCAAGAACAGAAAACACATATAATAAACTATTGAAATAAGAAGAAAAATTAATTCCTAGAATAATTTTTTGCCTGTCAGGTTTAGGAACATTTGACTAGCTCTGTAATTCCAAATCTTACTGTCCAGGTGGGAGGTAGTCAACCTTTCTGAAGCTCTGTCAACCCACCTTCTTGAGGTAGAGACGGTAGCAGTGGGTTAGTGGGGTTAGTAAGGATGGTAGATGGCAAAACCACCTGCCTACCTCATTCTAAAAGTGCCATGAGGGATGCAGTAATATTTAATAAAAGCAACAATTAAATTTAATTTTATCTTGAGGTTTATTGGTGAATTTGGAAATACTTCTTGACCCATCAAAGAAACCCTCTGCCTTTGGGTTGGCGATCAGTGTTCTGAACTGAGCTGGCTGATAAGGCAGCAGGGTGTCAGAAACATCTTTAATAGATTCCTACGTACTAAAACATCCAGAAAGTTCTGAGTAAGCCCCGAGGGTTGAAAACAAGACGCTATTTACCATTTAAAATAATCTGTTATTATCCATTTATTAATTCAGTAGGCAATTATTGATCACTCACTGTGTGCAAGAATTGTTTCATGTACTGGGAATATTAGCAAATGATGCAAAGATGAATGAGGCTAACATTCTGGTGAAGGATGGACGGAGAGAGGGATGCAGATAATAAACAGGTAAACATGGGTGAACAAGAAATGGAAAACAGTGGTAAAGGCGGTGATGGACATAAAACGGGTATGCGATGGAGTGACTTGATGAGGTGTGACGCGAGGGAGAGTTTCAGAGGGGGTGGCCTTGGAAGGCCTCTTGGAGAAGTTGGCACCTTGAGCTGTGCCAGTCACGCAAAGGTCTTGGCAAAGAGCATTGTAAGCTGAGGGGAGAGAAAATGCAAAGGCCCAGGATGAATTTGTTGTGCTGGGAAAAGGGAAAGAAGGCCCAGGTGTACGCACAGAGGGAAAGTGTGTGAGCAGGGCCGGTTCATGGACTGCCTCTGCCTTGGTGAGGAGTTGGGGCGCCTTCTAAGGGTGATAGCATGCCAGTGGAAGGTCTGCATGAACTCATTTAGGACTGGCACGATCCAATTTATATTTAAGAAGATCACTCCAGCTGTGTTTGGGGGGCAGGGGGTGTTACCATGGGCAAGGGAGGAGGCAGTATTACCAGTTGGGTAGACATTGTGGTCATCCAGGTGACAGATGTCGGTGCCTCGAACTAGGGAGTAGCCATGAGGCAAAGAGCAGTAAGCCTCAGAACCCTGTAGTTCTTGTTAATCATCTGTGACACTGTTCTGACACTGTCTGCTGACCCTTTGCTCTTCCAGTAGACTGCAATAATTTAACTGCTACAATTTGTGAAGTGCCCCATGTTGCTCTGGGCTTTATCCACATTGATTCCTTGTAATAATTCCATCCCGAGCTCATGCGTTAACTCTCTCTACGGCCACAGAGCTAGTGAGGGGTCATACTAGGATTTACCTAGGTCTGTCTGATTCTGAGCAAGGCACAAAGCTTAGCCGATACTCGATAATGTCTTCATTTAAACAACCTTCGTGGCAGAGTTGGTGCAGGGCAACCAGGGCACGGCTGTTTCTCTAATGGTTCTTAGAAGGAGGAGGCAGCAAAACAGCCAGGAAGGGACGCTCTTGTTTAGGAGGCAGATCCCAGGCCCTGCCCTGAGAATGCGGAGCCGGAATGTCCAGGGCTGGGGCTTGGGAATGTGCATTTAACGCATGCTTCCAAGCGCCAACCACTAAAATTTGCAGAGACTGCAAAGTAGGCACTCAGTAAATATTGGTTGTATGAATGAAGGAATATAATGGAAAAGGCCACGGGAAATGTAGCTCTAAGGTGGGTACCTCACTCCCTCTATCCCCAGTCCGGGGAAACTAGAAGCCCATTTTGGGCTGGGCCCAAGCAGAGCAGCAGCAAGCCCCTTCCGATCCACTCAGGAAGTACAGTGATACCTCGGTTCTCGAACATAATTCGTTCCAGGAGGACGGTCGAGAACCAAATTGTTCGAGAACCGAAGCAATAAAACCCAATAGGAAATAATGGAAACTGGATTAATTCGTTCCAAGCCCCAGAAAATGCCTATTTACTGGCCTAATTTGTATATAATATGTAGAAAAACATAAGTCTCAACAAGAAATAAAAGTGTACAGTATGTCTAAGGGTTAAATTCAGTGTAAAGCGTGACTCTCTCCACAAAGCGTGACTCTCTCTCTGCACTCACGCTGATGACGCGAGCAAGGCGCGCTGGGCCGAATGAACGCTATTCGGCTCCACTCGGCTCATCTCGGAAGTTCGAGTTCCAAATATTTGTTCGGATTCCAAGACAAAAGTTTCTCGAATCTCCTGGTCGAATATCGATTTGGTCGAAATCCGAGGCGTTCGAGAACCGAGGTATCACTGTAATGGCATGACTAATACATGGGTGTAGTGTACTCAGGCCTTCTGGAAGCTTTCTACCTTAAATCGTTACTCCTGATGACTAGGTGTGAAGTCCCTTTGTCTTTGTGGTTGAGGAAGTAGAAGCCCCTCAAATGTTTTAAAATCATCTGTTTTAAAGGCAAAAGTATCTTTTTAAAAAAATCATTATTTCAATTCTTTTGGACTTTTGACACGTGGAGGCTAGGCCGATTCATCCTTAGACATATTAAGCATAGTACCCAAAGCCCACGAGAATTTTAGGGGCCCACAAAAATGTTTTAATATCTCTTACAATCAGAAGAAAAAACATGCTAGCCTGTTTTAGCCTGAATTACATTACATTTTTACAAATGCAGTTGTAAAATGTAATTTTTAATGTTTTTTTTGTTTTGTTTTAATCAAGATATGGCCCAGGAAGGCGATGGTGTCTCGGGTGCACAGAAGTCATAAAGTGGCCCTGCTTACTCACCACTCTGGGCTCAGGTGACAGGCGTAGGCAACTTACCTGGCAGGCGTTGTACAAGAGCTGGTGTTCAAACTTCTTGATCCCAAGAATGTTCTGGAACATCTCGTAGAGTTGCTCTTTGCTCAGAATCAGCTCAGAGGCTGCGCTGGCTGTCATCCGGGCCTGCTGCTTCCTGGGGTCCTCCTCTCCGCGGTAGATGGCATCAAACTTGGCCATCCAGGAGCTCAGCACGGTCTCCTTGCTGAGGCCGTCGATCTCGGGCAGGCTCCGCACCCTCTTCTCGATGTGCTTCTTGAAGACCTCGCGAGAGTCGTTGGCGGAGCAGCCCCCACTCTGCACCATGCGGGCCACGCGGTCGCTCTTCAGGAACACCTGGGCAAGAACGGGTGAGAGACATCAGGAAGTCGGTCCTGGAGACACTGCTCACAGCATCACTGGGCACACCCGAGGGGGCACACCCCGCCCCACTGCCTCGTGGCTGGCCAACTCTGAGAAGTCACTCACACATTTGCTTCGGGGCCCAAATGTGGAAAATGAGAATAACAACAGTACTTAGCAGGTTGTTGCAAGGACTGAGACAGTAACATCCCGAGAGGCAGCACGTGGTCTGTAGACTCGGAGCCCCGCCTGCCTGGCCTCTGTCTCTGCCACTTGGCGGCCAGGTTTCTCTCGGCGAGGTAATCTCGTGGGCCTCAGTTTTCTCACCTCTAAACTGGGGAGAGAGTGGTCTCTCCATCACAGGTATTTTTAATGAGGATTAAATGAGTTAATATATAAAAAGCACTATACTGATGTGTCTCTCTCACATCGGTGTTTCTCTTTCTCTCTTCCTCCCTCTCTCCCTCCTGCTCTATCTGAAGATAAATGCAAAAATGTCCCCTGGTGAGGCTAAAGGGAAAAAATATGCATATGAGAAACACTTTACAAAGTAGCCCATATTCTGCCTTCTGGGCTGTGGTGGTGGTGTTACTATTACATGTAGAGCGATCGACCTGATGTCCCCACGTGCACTTAAATGTAACTGCTCCTTAGAGCTCATTTCATGCTCTCGGTGATACTCATCACAGCGGAAACTGAATGAGTATTAAGTAAATATGTATTTAATGTTCATCTCCCTTTGCAAATGTAAACTCCACCTGGGCAAGGACTGTGTCCTTCGTGTCCCCCACAGTGACATCTGTCCCCAGCACAGAGCCAGGCACTTTGAAAGTAAGTGAGCAGAGAAAGTAGGCACTGCATTCAGTCCATTGCATAGACAGAAAACTAGACTCCAGGGAGGGGACGGGAGCATGGTGTGTCGATGGCATCCCGGTTCCTTCCTTCCCCATGGGGCTCACCTGCCTGGTGGAGAACCTCTCCCACCTGGTGGAGAACCCTAGGTTGCTCCCTGCTCCCGCTCCAGCGCCCAGCGTTTGGGAGCCCGCACAGCCACGTGGTCTGGGCTGTAAGACAAGGTGGAGAAGCTGCGGCCTCACAGGCACAGAGAGGAAACAGCTGGCACCTTGGAGCTGTGTCCTGGTTACACTTCAGAAGGTGCGTAAACGTCCTTCCAGAGGCAGAACACATGTTCGCGCTCCGTCAGACTTCAGGGAACGCCCTGGCTGGCCTCGAGGCGGACGGCTTGGGGTGTTTCATGGCGGCACCCCAAAGCCCCTCGGGGAGGAGCGCGGGTGGACAGGTGGCCCCCACTGACGGTGATTTCACGAACTCGTTTAGAAAGGGGGAGGGCTGAGGGTTTGCGTCACAGGCTGGAGGCCGGGGCCCACTCGTGGCCGGTGCCTGAGAACAGGTGCTCAGCGGAGACCTTCGAGTTCATTTAAAAATCATGTTTAGGAAAAACATTCAAATGAATCCTCAGGCTTTATGAGCCTTAATGAGCTAAGGAATTCAACTGAAACTCTGTAATGCTTAATACAGATGGTTTCTCCATCAATACATCGGTCTCAGTTTTAGATCTAGGTCTCAAAGAACTTAAAAGTTTTGAGGCAAATAGAGAAATTTTCTGGAGAGGCAGGAGCTATAAACTATGGTCCCAGGCTACTTCTGCCACTAACCTGCTGTGTGACGTTGGGTAAGTCACCCCCCTGCTCTGATTCTTCAGTTTTCGATCTGTACCCTGAGGGAGCTGACTATACTCTGAGGGTTGTCCTTCCAGCTGCAATATTCACACTTTTCTTTATGAACCCATTCTTCTTTCTCTGGGCACCCAGAAGGTGGGCAGCACTGGGCCAGGGGCCAGGGATAGAGTGGGGAGCAAAACAGACGCACACCCAGCCTACACGCCTCCATGACATCATCTTGCAATCCCCTCCAAACACCAATGCGAGCTGGGACAGTGCTGCTGGGGAAGGGGGCGGGGGTGCCTAGAGCCAGGAACGTGCTCTAATGTGTGGTCCGGAAGGGCCTCCTGGAGGGATGCTCCTTGGGGTCGACATGGGAAGGATGTTTAGGTGAAGAGGGTGAGAGAGCATTTCCGAAAAAGGGAGCGATATGTGCAAAGACCCTGAGAGGCTCAGGACATCAGGCGGTGGCAGCGAGGGCGGGGGATGGCCGAAGACCAGGAAGGGGCCAGCTGGCCGCGGGCACGGGAGACCACACGGAGTATGTTGGTCTTCATTTGAAGGTTTTAAGCTGGGACATAACAAGATCAAGTTCACACTTTGTCTCTGTTGTGGAAAGCAGACCTGAAAGGGGCCAAGAGAATGGCGGGAAGCCTGATAGAACTACAGCCGATGCATGAGGAGGTGTGGGCACAGGCGGGTAGGGTTCGTTCTTTGTTTCGGCTCTGACAAATCTTAGACTTGGAAACAATTAACAATGAAGCCACACTCTGCTCTCCATCTGCTGGTAGCAGTGTCCCATAAAACTGAGCCAGTTAGAAGCCCTCAGCACCATATTCCTCCCCCCAAATCCTTCCATAGTTGCCACTTGTCATCTGTCTTGGTGACTCTTTGGTTAATATATGAGTCTCTGGAAGGCAGGAGTTGTAACTGTTTTGTTCTGTTATTTCCCCGAGTGCCTAAGGCAGAGTCTGGCACACAGTTGGTACTGTGTTGAACCAGCACATGAATAAGAATGAACAGAGATGATATCTGGATGGGGGCAAGAGGGTAAAGGCGAACCCAGCCAGCACCGTCTATCGGTCTCTTGAAAGAACAGACTGCGGCTGGATACTTCATGGGACCCGGTACCAGGTGGTGAGCAATGACGATGCTGGCACACTGATCCCAGCGGGCGTCCATAACTGGCTGCTGACTCCCGGACCCTGCCCACATCATCTGCTTGACCTAGTCCCTTCCTTCGTTCCTGTGGCCACTCAGGGAATCTTGGTCACTTAATCCCCCTCAAGCCCACTCTCCTTCCCTGTCGCAGGGGGAATGCAGCCAGCCTTCTTTGATGAGGGTCAACCGCAAAGGACTGAGAAGCAGAGGGCTCCACTGTCCGGGGGGAAGATGTGACAGCGGCCCGGAAGGAGGGGAGGAGGGGGATGTGAGTGTGGGGAGGAGGCTGGAGACTGAGGAGACAGCAAGGATGAAATGCGGAAAGGAGGCGAGCCGGCCAGGGGCAGAGGGTGGCAGCAGAGAACGAGTCTTGCAGGCACATCTGTCTTGGCTTCTCAGACTGTCAGGAGGGGAGTGGCCGGGGCCCAGTGGCCCTGTCGCCAGTCCAGCCACTGAGCACCGACCGCTTGTGTGTCTAAAAGCGCCCTCGACGCTCGTTTGTACTGGGAGCTCTAGCTGGTGTTTTTGCTTTCTGTTTTGTTTTAGTCTGTCCCAAGAGACTTCGACCCCAGGCACAGTTTTGGTGGCGCATTTGTAAATCCTCCCTGCTCCTCTGCCAACTCCCGCAATGGGGGCCAGAAGATGAACAAATGCCCATGGAATGGTGAAGGGCAGTCCACTCCGTGACTCGCCCTCATCCCTCTGTCCTCCCGCCCTCACCGGAGTCCAGCAACCTCAAGGTTGCTTTAGAAACACACAAGCACATCAGGACTTAATGCCTGTACGCGGTGCGGGGTAAAGCTGGCCCGGCGCCCGCCTCCTAGCTGACAGGCTGAGAAACCAAGAGAGCCTTGCCTGCTCCACAAACGCAGATCATTCCAAAATAGACAACAAAGCGACCTACATGTCACAGTAAATAAGATTTAAAAACAACAACAACACAACAACCTGGATGCTAACAGCGAAGGGCTTGCATAACGGGGAGCATGCTCCAGTGTCGGAGGATCGGAGTTCAAATCCTGACTCTAAGGTGCTAGCTTAGAAACCTGAGCAAGTAGCTTAATGTGTTTGGGCTTCAATTCCCTCAACCTTCAAATGGGGATCACAACTCCCTACCTTGTAGGACTGGGAAAGGATCCAAGCAGACGATGTGTGTCAGCTGGTGAGCATGGTGCCTGCTACAAGAATGTAACAGGCTATTACTTTTGAACTGATTACATGCAGCCATGACATAAGCTATTTTTTTCATGGGCATCTAACGGTGTCTGTGATGTCTTGTTAATGCAGAGAATTGCAATGGTAGGGGTGAGGCAGGCTTGGAGGATAAGAGCATGACCCTGGACTAAGAACATCATAAGTAATAAAACATTTACTGATGAGGGTATCATATGTGTGATTTTTGCAGAGGTAGGAAGGACTTTGAAAACGACTGTGCTAATAAAACAAGTGGGCTATTAATATTTCATAGTAATTTTACATCTTAATATGGAAATAAAATAGCTCTCTTTTTGTGTGCAGACATATTAAAAACATCTGAAAAGATTCTACCCCAACTTAATAGTGGTTGTTTAGGATGATGAAATTACAGGTATTTTTCTAACCATTTCATTTAGATTGTTTCTTATACTGTCTCGTTTTATAATTGGCATGCTTTACTTTCATAATCACTTAAAACACCTCTTTCTCCATGGAAAAATACAAAATTTACCTTTGTTGAGGCAAGATGAATGTTGATTTCTAAAATAATGAAATGCAGCTTTGGATGGCGGAAGCTCCCTCAGTGAAGACGGAGACGCTGGCGCGGCCCGCAGAGGCACGGCTCGGGCCGTCGGCTCGGGCGTCGGCTCGGGCGTCGGCCTGTGCTGGCCGGCAGCTCAGGAGCCAAAGCAGGTTCCTCTCCCTGAGCCCAGGCCCAGGACCTAGGGGCCCAGGTGCTAGCCTTAGGGTAAGGGTGTGTAAGTGTGTGTGTGCACAATTTAATCCTGACAACAATTATGCAAGAACGGTCCTACTACAGATGAAAAACCTGAGCCTCAGACGTGGCTGGGGTCCTGAAGCCACCGTGCAGTAGAGAATCCTACCCCCATCCTTGAACACGACATCATCCTCCTGACCACCATGCCTCTGCCTCCTGCCTCCTTGCCTGACTTT